ATGGGAGGGGGGACAGGAAGGGGGACCGGGATGAGAGTGATCAGTCTGCAACATTGTATCCAGTCACAAGGTGAGAGTCTGCAGCAGGGGCTGATCTGTGTCAGACATTTGTGAACACAGCCGAGCACTGCACAGACACCGGGAGTTACATGGTTGTGTCATCTCAGTCCAGTAAGTAGACGGTGACCCCGGATGATGGTGGAACAAAGATGGCGCCGTCCTTCTGGAGAGCAAAGCAGATGAAGACATTGTCAGGGGGCAGTCATGTGATCTCTGTGGGAGGGAACATCTGGAGGGGGTCACATGACACATCACTCCGCATTGAATATCTGATGACAGGTCCTCTTCAGGGGGTCAGAATCTCGCTGACACGTAGGGGAGCGGTGTATGAAGTCAGCGCTGGGTTCTGATTGGCCGCTCCGAGCTCCCGATAGCGGTGCCGCCGCCCATTATAAAGTCTAATTGGACCTCTCGGGTCGCCGATCCGCCGCATCGCCGTGCAAATTGCCGATCAATAATTGACGGCGGGCGGCCGTGTCAGACGTGGCGAGTCGCTGCCGCCGCCTTTCCTCCGAGGTAATTAGGAATCTTCCCGAGTCCCGTGCCGGGGAACTGTGACGGCGGCGGCAGTGCGAGTGATGGGGGAGAGGAGAGCGAAGGTCGGTTATATAAAAGGAGCGACCCGGGTATTACAGGGGGGGCTCTCTTACCCCCGGGGGTCACAGAAATCCCCCCCGGGGGTCACAGAAATCCCCCCCGGGGGTCACAGAAATCCTCCCCCACCGGGGGAACAGAAATCTTTGGTGTGCTGGCCCTTTAAGTGCACGCTTCAGTCAGCCATCAACATGGACGCTTCCTCAGGGGACGTCACATGACCTGACCTCCGCATCTTCTAATTGGCCGCAGGCAGTGGGTGCCTACGTTCCAGCTCCGCCCTCTCGATGAGCCCCGCCCACACAGACATAGCACAGCACCATGTGACGGGAAGCACTGTGAAAATCGATGACAGGCAAACATTACAGATCCGTTTCCTATGCGATGGCCATGAGACCGAGCATGCTGGGAGTTGTAGTTCCCCCCGGGGGAGGGGGGGAGGTGATCCATGGACAGCGGCGCTGGCGCCTCCATTGTTCTTCTCCGGCGTGAAACGCGTCAGCCGGGTCTTCTTTGTTCCCCTGAAGGGCCGTTCATCATTTTGAATGAGCCCC